AGCGCATGTTTCAATTCTCATACATCAGCGGCTATTGCATAATATGATTCAGAATTCAGAGATGGCCACGAAGCTTTCTAAGCTCAAGAGGCAGGGCTTGAGAAATATGGATATGTCAGGTTACTAGTTTGTTGAACAGCAATCTATTTTAAAGCAACTGATGTGGTGTTAGGTAACAAGGCGGGCGGGTCCTGTTTCACGTTCATGTTCTTTCTCGCCTTCATTCTCTGGCCAATGCATGCATGCACTGGCTACAAGTGATGGATGCAATGCAATACCCATGCCTCGTTTTTGCAGTGTTTGCAACAACATGTGCAGTGATAATATGTAAACAACCGTCTTCGCAAGTTGATTCTGTCTGCTCCATTCATTACCGAAGAAAATGAGCTGTCCACCAACATACTTTTGTGATCAATGAAACCTCCTGAATCGTGTCAGGTGTCTACCACTCTGCATCTGCAGTAACCCCTGTAATAAGCAAGGAGGCAGTACAAAACTTGACTCTGGCAACCGGCCAATTTATCAGTCTCATATATTACAGCGCGGACAATGTCAAATGCGTATGCGGTGTCTGTACATTTTCTTCTTGAAACGTCTTTGGCAAAGCAGGTCATCCAGGATTGTGATCTCCAGTTTGGAGTAGCGGCAATGCAGGATGCCTACTGAGGGTGAGATAGAGTGGCAGGCAAGCTCTCTTAGATGGCACCCACCTTGCACCTGCCAGCCACAGGGAGACAGTCACGGTGGGAATCCTACAGAGACTGGGATTGTTAGCGAGAGTGATAGATGGCTTTGACCTTGCACCTACCATAAAAGAGATGGCAGCGGCAGACCATAGTAAGGCAGAGATAGTGAAATATGGTGGTGGTGCTGGTAGTAGTGCAGAGCTGATGAGATGGCATGCCATGCCAGTTCTATTGCAACAGGGAAGTAACTACATAGTGGTGGGACTAAAGGCAGGGGGGGGCATGGCAGATTGCACCGGCAACTGTCAATGTTGGAAACATGAACCGTTGCTCAGATTGGCCAGGCTTATACCAGGCCTGCTTCATCCATAAAAGCAGACTTTCCTCACACAGCCCGGGATCCCCGCATACTGGTCAGACTAAGTTGTACTGCCAGCCAACAAGGTCTTGAAAACGCTTTTCTCGTTTAAAGTCGCGATTGATAAATTATTTCTCATGCCGTGCCCAGTCGTCCACCTGAGCTCTGAGGGTAGGTGATTGCACGGTAGGGAGACAGGTGGCTTAGGGGAAATTACTAATAAATCACTTGTAACCCATACATGGATCATGATGCACTATGCCATGGCAAGTCCGTCCTCCTGAGGTGATTGATAAGGTGAAGGACAATACAATTATACAATCCATCAGTGAATTTGCCTGAGGCATGATGCATTGCCATGCCAAATCCATCCACTTTAATCAGCAAGAAGTATCTGTACATGTTATATAAAGCGAGTAATGAATGAGTCGAACGAGAGTAGGAATCACTCATAGCGTAATCACCTCGCCTTGTTACTCGAATGAGTCAGGAAGGTACGAGGCAAGTAATACTCGCCTCGCCCTTAGCTCATGCCTAGGTAAGTGGAAGGGATGGGTAAGGGGATGGGTTAGGGGCTGGGTACGTGAATGGGTAAGGAGATGGGTAAAGGGGGACAATGCTGGAGAGTGAAGGCTGCACTTTGCACACCTGGAGGGTGATTGGACGAAGTGGAGGCAGTGGGAGGGAGGGAGCGGTAAGACAGCCCAGAAGGATTTAGAGGGAATGCCAGTGGGGTGTGTAAGAGGGAAGTGGCGTGTGGCGGAGGCATGTGGCAATGTATCAGTAGATGTGTCTTGAAACGCGGTGTAGTATTTGGGGGAAGAGGGGCCGAGGAGAGGCCAGAGGGAAATGCGAGTGAGGTTGGTAAGAGCGAAGTGGAGAGTGGTGTGAGTAGGGGGGAGGGGGGGGGGGGAGAGAAAGGAGCAAAGTTGTAAAGTGTCCGTCCCCGATAGACCCGCGTTGGCACCTTGGAAGTCACCGTGGCAGGGCATTCACAGGGCAAGCAGTATACGCAGAGCATGGAGCACCTTGAAAAACACCTAATCCCAAGGTGTTATAGTCACAGTAGTCTCAAATGTGCCTAAAACGAAAGACAGAGTGCACAGTCAGATTTCTGCACAGCGAATTTAAACGTTCATAGCGTTCTGGTCACAGCTTCAAATGGCCTGATTCAACTTGGATCTGGAGCGTCTTGCAGTCGCCTACAATAGGCAATTTAGATCGCACGATTTCACCAAGTATTGACGACACAGCGTCGGTTTGAACGAATGGCACTATGGCAGCAACTATAGTCTTATAACACAAATTAAGAAGAGCTACTAGTAAGGAATGACTCCCAGTTCCTACAAACCCCAAGAGCCAAGGTACAGTGATGTGGAACAGTGCCACAAAATACCCAACCACGAAGGGTCTCGAAACTACCATTCACAAGGGCCTACACCAAGTGAAATGTTACACTACACAAAGTAATGTAACCATTCTCAATATCTTCAGGTGTACCATTCTTTCGTGAGCTTCGCGATCACTTGAATCTTGAAACAAGGCTCTGGTTCTTTATCATAAACTCATCCTTGAGTTCTTGATGGGTCTGCTACACACACCGGCGACACGCCGAACGTTCCACACACGACAAAACAGAAACCACGCGACACACACAAACGACAAAATAGAAACCGCGCGACTAGCGATGACTCGCTATTCACTCGACACACACACATTCGACATCATGACTCATCATTCGCACACTATTATAAGCATGAAATATATATTATCTCATGCCCTGATACCATTCCATGCATACATGCATGCACGCACACGGACAACAAGCCGAGTGCAAATCGTAGGTTGCACCAACACAAGGCAATAAGGCAGGCATCATTCAGCCTCTCGCAAATCAGCAGCTCCAGTAACCTTTCACGACCAGGAAAACTTGAGATTCATCTGAATCACCTGAGAATCACTTGGGAGCGACTGAGAGTAACCTGAGAGCACATCCAAGGGCCATACAGCAGCCTGACCCAAATCCAACTCAGCTGCGAGTGATCGACCGTAACAATGAAAGCAACCCACCACCTCCTTCACCCAGAAATGACCCATTATAGCCCACCTGGGTCTACTGCTGCTCGTCCTCAACAATTATTAAAGCCACGGGGCATCTTTGTCCAGCTTCGCCTGCACCCTCTCCTGTGCGTCCGCCCTGTCAACAGCGCATAGGTTGCACGTGAACAGCGCGCCCTCATGCCGTAGAGGCAAGATTCATGGGGCATAGGCTGGTGTGGGAGAAGCAGATGCGGAGCTGGGGGATGAGGTATAGTGGGAAGGGATTGAGGGGGGAGAGGGTAAACATTACAGTGGCTTAACAGAGGGGTGTGGGGTGAGGGACACTGTGCCATTGCCAAGTTGGTGGGCCAGAAGTCCGAGTCAGGAAAACACGTGCCGAGCTGAGGGGGAAGGAGTGTGGCGGGAAGAAACACAGTCCTTTATACGGGTAAAAGAACATGGGAGACAGTAGCATAAGGGGAATCCGTGCAACAAATCGGTGTAGGAGAAGTAGGTGTGGAGCTGGGTGGATGAGGGGTCGAGAAACATGTTGGGGGGGAGAGGGGAGCGGGGAGGGCAGGGCGAGTGAGAGAGTGAGAGCATGGGGCGATAGACGGGCCTAAGTTTGTGGGTCAGAAGCCGGCGTTGGAGAAGCAGGTGGGGAGGTGAATTGTGGGTAAGGGGAGAGGGGAACCAGAGGAAACAGCACAGTGGCTTATGAGAGGGACGTGGGAGCTGTGGGGGAGTGAGTCTGTGGGAAAGGATGCGAGTGTGCACTGCTGCGATCTCTTTTGAGAATTTGTAGAAGTGATTTTCATGGGGATGACAACTTCCGTGAGACCAATGAGCACACGATTCAGGGCCCAGTGTTAGCATTTTTTTACGTTGTAATCATAAATTTCATTGTGTTCTTGCCCTTCCACTTCAAAACCCACCCCCTCCCCCTCCCCACCTCTCCCCACCCCAAACATCCCCCGCCCACCCCTGCACCCCCTCCCACCCTTTTTTGCTCTGCCCATGCTTTTGTTTCTCACCTGTCCGGCCTACCATCTGCTGGCTGCTTTGCCCGAACGTCCAGCATGCAGATGTCAGCATCCTGGACGCTAGTCATGACTTTGGTAAGTCTATTGGGAGGGGAAGATGGTGACGGGGACGGGGATGGGAAGGGGACAGTGACAGTGAAAGGAGAGGGGAAGGGGATGGAGGAGGGGAAGGGGAAGCAGATGGGGAAGGGAGTGTAAAGGGGAAGGGAGAAGGGAGTGTAAAGGGGAAGGGGGAAGGGGACAGAAATAGGAAAAACATTATGGAGAGTGATGGTTCCAGTATGCATGCCTGGCGGGTGACTTGTTAGTCCCGATTTGCCACCTTATATAAATAGCACTGCCCCCGGCATTCAGCAACAGGGCAGCAGCCTCTTGCGGATCAACACCCGAGACCGACCTGAGCTGAGAAAAACCTGGGAGAAATTACGAGTGATATGAGAGTGAACTGCTGGTGAACCATGATTGGCCTCTTTCTCCATACCACACACACATCTTCTCCAACCAGTAGTGTCTAGTAACAGTGAGCAGCAGCAGTGACCCATCACAATCCACCCTCTTACTCGCCCAATGCACCCACCAATGAGCCATTGCAGTCGAGCCCACCTCCTTCCTCACAGCACGAACCTCTTTCTCCCTCTGCTCCTCCGAGAGGAAAAACACTGCCACGCGGGACACCAAGCAGTCCCGCCCAGCCTCGCGTCACCCATGGTCTACCAGTGTCTCACAAGGTTTGAGCAGCGTAGCCTGTCACCCCTCACTCACTCGGAACGCACCTCCTTCTCCCTAGGCCAACCCACCCTCAAAAACCGCCACAGAACACTCAACAGCTCTGCCCAGCTGCGCCTGCAGCCACGCCACGCCAGTGACCCGTAATCAGCCCACTTCCTGCGCAGCTTGCACCTCCTTCTCCCCCCACTTGTCCTTGGGAAAGGAAACCGCCACGGCGCACCCAGCAGCCTCACTCACCTTCGCCTGCAGCCTCTGCGGGGGTGAACAACGCGCCAGATTTGTAGGTGTGGGAGTTGGTGGGGCATAAGTTGGTGCAGGGGAAGCAGGTGCGGAGCTGGAGGGGCAGTAAAGAAGGGGGGGAGAAGAGAGGGGAAGGGTAGTCAGCGGCAAAGTGACTTATGAGAGAGACGGGGGGGGCAGCGCCGTAGTAGCATGAAATTGGTGGGCCAGAAGTGGGTGCAGGAGAAGCAGGTGAAGCTGGTGGAGGGAGGAGTGGAGGAGGAAGGCAAGAGGGTAGTGGGTGTTGAAGGAAAGATGCAGCCCGCAGGTTGGAAGGTGCCAAGGCTGCACCGCAGCTTTCTTTCAACACCCATTAACATGCGCCCTGTGCACTCGTCGCATGTGCAGCCCTGCACCATGGGCGCACCTTCACAACCTGCAGGCTGTTGGGTGAAGCCATGACGCAAAGCTGGACGGAAGACGGGGGAAGGGCGAAGGGAGGTGGCAATGGGAGAGTAAGGGGCAGAGCCTGGGTGAGAGCAGTGCGGCGCCACTGTAGAGGCAGGAAAACGTGGGGCAGACATTGGCGTGGGAGTCACGGGTGCGACGGCAGAGCTGGTGGTAAGATGTGGGATGGGTTGGAGGAGGTGGAGCGGGGCGAGTTAGGGGGGAGCAGTGCAGCGCCTGTAGGGAGAAAGACTCGGTGAGCAGGCGTTGGAATAGGAGAAGCAAGTGCGGAGCTGGGAGGGGTCGGGAAGGGGAGAGAGAGGGAGAGGGTAAGGGGAAGGGAGGGGGCCTGGGTGAACAGCGCGTCTGTAGCACTGTTGGGGCACATGCAGTGGGGCAGGTTTGGGTGTAGGAGAGAAGCAGGTGTGCGGTGCAGAGCTGGCGAGGTGGGAGAGGGAAGGGAAAAGAGGAAAAGGAGCTGGGATTATGCTAGAGATGTGGGAGTCAGTGCCGGGAGGGAAACCTGTGGGCTATGAGTCGGTACAGGAGAATCAAGCGGCTCTGTTGTTTATCCAGAATACAACGCATCACACTCAATCAAACGAACGGGAACAGCCTACGGTTCCACACCTGCAGCGCCCGTATGTAGCCCTTGCCTACCTCACCGTCCGCCCACCACCATGCGTCATTTCACTTGAGACATCTAAAATCCGCACCACACCCTCCACATTCACGCACACTCATGCACCTCCTACTTCAGCCCAGCTGCCCACATGCAGCCACCCACTGAAAAGCATTTTCTACCTGAACCACTGCAGCCGCTCCAGCTCCAGTCTGGCTGAACATTGCACCCGCTCCCTCACCATTGGCTGCTGCTGGAAGTGACGAACGGGAGGAAAAGGGTAGTGACTTGGTGAGTTATGCGGCAGGGGCTGCGGAGATAGCTACTACAACGGGAGCTAGACTACGGGCTAGGCACGAGTGCTCGTGTGATCTCTGCGTTCGTTGGTCCTTAGTCGTTTTCCTAGTGCACACACTGCTTGTTAGTTCACGGGACAATTTGGCAAGCGTTTCACTAGAGAAAGTTGACAGCAAATGGTTCAATGAGGTTGGCAAGCCAAGACTACATCAGAGCTAGCATTCAGGTCGGTCGACTGCCAGCGCAGCATGGTCGACCGCGTTCCAGCACGACTTGGTCGACCGCGCTCCAGCAGTGCAAAGTCGACGGCGTGCCAACGCTGTAGGGCGACGGCGTGCTAGCGTAGCTCCCGCAGTACAGCATCGCACTAGCTTCGCAGATGATTGGCGTGCTGAGCCGTGCTGAGCGTGTTGAAGGCCGGATAGTGCAGCGCCTTCGTCAGGAAGTCGGCCGGCTGCTCGGTGGTCGGGATGTACCTCAGCGAGAACTTCCCGCGCTTCACCATGTGCTGCAGCCAGGCCTGTCGCCGCTCCATGTGCTTGAGGTTGCCCGTCAACCCCATGCCCTCGGCGACTGTGATGGCCGACTTGTTGTCCACCCAAAGGACAGACGGCTTCCCGGCATCCAGCTGCCAGAACTCTGCAAGGAGGAAGCGAAGTTGACGTCCCTCCTTGCCGGCTTCAGTGGCCGCCACGTATTCCGACTCGGTCGATGACAACGTCACGCACTTGATGCGCTGGCTCGACCAGGAGACTGTGGCCTTTCCGTAGACAAACACATAGCCGCCCGTGCTCGTCCTGTTCTGCTTGTCACTGGCGTCGTCGGCGTCCACGTAGCCGACCAGCTCCAGCGACTCAGGTCCACCACCGAACTCGAGGGCGGTGTCACGCATGTTGGCGAGGTAGGCGAGGCAGCGGTCGACCTCGCGCCAGTGCTGGTCACTCCTCACCGTGAGGCTGCTCCCCAGTTTGCTGCAGGCGAAGGCAATGTCCGGCCTCGTCGTCGTCGCCGCGAACTGCAGCGAGCCGACCTTCTGCCGGTACTCCTCCTCCTGTCGCTCCTATGCCTCCTCGTCGTCGAAGGTGAGCTCGGCGTAGGCGTCGACTGAGACCGGCGTCTTCGGGGTGCGCCCGGTCTGCTCCTTGTCAACGATCCGCCTACGCAGCTTGTCGGCGTAGCCCTGCTGGTGCAGCCACAGTTTCCCCGCCGACCGGTCGCGGACGATCTCCAGCCCGAGGTACTTCTGCACCGGCGAAATCTCACGCAACTCAAAAGCGGACTCCAGCAGCTCCTTCAGCATCTTGGTACTGCTGCTGGCGGCGAGCAGGTCGTCGACGTAGATCAGCACCCAGCGGGCCACTCCGTCGTCGCCGACCTTGAAGTACAGCGCCTCGTCGATCTGGCTCTTCTTCCACCCGGTGCCGACCAGCACGTCGTTGAGCGCCAAGTACCACAGCAGCGACGACTGCTTCAGCCCGTACAGGCTCTTCAGCAGCTTGCACACCCGGCCGGTTCCGTCGTTGAAGTAGTACGGCTGGGACATATAGAACATCCGGTCGAGCTTGCTCTGCAGGAAGGCGTTCTTCATGTCGAGCTGCATCAGGTTGAGGTTGAGGACGGCAACGATGCTGAGGAAGATCCTCAGCGTGACGTAGCTGCCCACCGGTGCAAACGTTTCATCGTAGTCGGCGCCATACACCTGGGTGAAGCCCTTCATGACCAGCCTCGCCTTCTCGCGCTCGACGGTGTCGTCGACGTGGTACTTCGTCATCAGGACCCACCGGTTCTTCATGATGTTCACCCCCGGCGGGCGTTCGACCAGCTCCCAAGTGCCCATGTTGATGAGGCTGCGGATCTCCTCCTCCATGGCGGCCTTCACTGCCGGGCCCTTCCAGCTTGCCAATGCCTCCTTCACCGTCATCGTCAAGAGGTCCCAACGGTGCTCGCGGTCGGCATGCATGTCGGGGTCGAGCTCCGGAAACTCCTCATCCTCCTCGGCGTCATCATACGCCAAGTCGTCGTCGTCCACGTCGTACACCGTGGTGAAGGCAGCGGGGACGAAGAAGTCGGGTGGCCTCCGAAGTCGGCCTGACTTCCGGGGTTCAGGCCGAACCTCCACCACGTCACTCTTGGTGGACTTCTCGGCGTCCCCTCCTTCGTCACCGTCTTCACTGCCCTCGTCGTCCTGCTGCACCTCGGTCGACTTCTTGGCCGACCTCTCCCCTGTGGTCGGCTCCTCTGTCGACTGCCTGGTTGCCGACTGCTCTGTGGTCGGCTTCACCGCTGCCTGCTCCCCCATCGGTTGCTGCCCAGCTGGTGCGTTCTTCGCCGGCTTCACCCAAGTCGGCTGCACCTCCTCGACCTGCTCCTCCCCTATCCACGTCGACTTCACTCCCACGTCGACTTGCCGCTCGCCACGTCGGCCACCGGCGATGCCCTTGGCCGGCGCCGAAGGCGACGTCCCACTGCTCCCCTTATCGCCGGAGGCTGACACAGGAGTCAGCTTGCGCAGGTCGACCATGAGGGGAGGGGAAGGGGAAGGAGGACGGACGACCTCGGAGTCCTCATCAGCAAGCTCACCAACCTTAGCAAGCAGAGGTAGCGTCGCCGTCGAGGTGTCGGTGGGCGGGGTAGTCGGCGTCCGTCTCGCCACCGGCCCATGCTCTGACTTCCACACCTCCAGCGACATTTCCTCGTAGAACACCACGTCCAACGTGGTGACCACCCGGTTGGCGTCGATGTCGAGGAGCTCCCAGCCCTTGCTCTCCGCCGGCACACCGAGATAAAGGCCCCACTTCGCCTTCGTCTTCAGCTTCCCACCACGCTGCTGCTCGGGGACGAGGAACTGTGCCATAGAGCCCCACACACGTGCCAGCGACAAGTCGGGCTTCGTCCCGGTCAGCAGCTGGTACGGTGTAGTCCCCGGCGGCAGCGTCGACCTCTCAAGGCAGTTGCGGACCCAGACGGCCTGCCGCAGAGCGAGGTGCCACCAGTGGTGCTGCACGCCCATGTGCAGCAGCATCGTTCGCACCGACTCCACCACCGTCCTCATCTCCCGCTCCGCCATGCTCTTCTGCTGCGGGGTGTACGGGCAGGTAAGGTCGTGGACGATCCCCTTTCCATCCACGAAGTCGGTGAACTTCTTCCCGAGGAACTCCCCTCCTCGGTCTGAGTGCAGCATCAGCACCGACTTCTTCACCTGCCTCTCCACCAACACCTGCCACTTCTGGAACTCCAGCAGCACATCCGACTTCTTGGCAACCGGCCTCACCCACACGTAACGGGTCTTGCGGTCCTTGAGCAGCAAGAAGTACAAGCTGCCGTCCTCTGCAGCCACGCGGAACGGCCCGCACAGGTCGATGTGCACGACGGCCAGCACGTCGTCGGCGTCGGAGCCTTGGTCGGGGAAGGTGTGCCGCGCCAGCTTCCCGCCGACGCACGAGATACACGGTGAGTCGGCGCTCGTCGCCGACTTGAAGTCCAGCCCAGTGGTGACCTCGTGCTTCGCCGAGCTCCGTATGGTGTCCATGCTGACGTGCGCAAGCCTCGCGTGCATTCTGTTCGGCGTCGACATCGTCGTCGAGATGATCGCCCGCAGGGCCACGACCTCCGTCGTGGGCGACATCGACCTCGGAGCAGGGACGCAGGTCGGTGCAGAGGACACGCCCGGAGTACGTCGCCCGACCGAGCACCTCTCCCGCCGCCGAGACGAGCAGCATCCCGTCGCCATCCTCCTGCAGCTTCACGTCGTGCTCCTTCAGTTGGCCAGACGATAGCAGGTTGGCCCGCACACCTGGGACGTACAGCAGGTCGGGGATGAGCACCTGCTTCCCGGCCTCCCCTTACAGGGCGACGGTGCCGCGGCCCTGGACGTCCTGCAGCGCCCCATTGAAGCCGCGCACGTGCTTGATGGAGCCGCTCGGCTGCAGGTCGACGAAGACTTCCTTCATCGCCATCAAGTGGTGGGAGCAGCCGCTGTCGAGCAGGACCACCTTCGGGTTCGCCTGCACAGCTGCCGCCACCGCCTGGAAGTCCTTCCCGGCCTCAGGCGCCAGCAAGATGGTCGGCTCCATGACGCTGTCTTGTCGTCCCGCGCCTTGCCGCCAGTAGAGGAGTCGTAGTCCTTCGCCGAGGTCGATTTGGTCGACTGCGTCTCCTTACGCGGCTTGTTCCCTCCTCGACGAGGACGACGGCTTCCAGACCTTGCGCGGCCTCCCTTGGCGTCGTCGGAGTCGGAGTCGCTGCGGTCGGGGCACTCGAAGGAGAGGTGGTCGGGGTCGCCGCACAGCCAGCACTCCCGACTTCGACCTCCTCTTCCTCGACCGCTGTCATTGGTCGACTTCTTCTTGTCGACTTCCTTGGCAGGCTTCCAGCCACTGCTACCATAGCCGCCGGACTGTCTGCGCTGCCCTGGTCAACCTCCTTGCTTCGCCGGGGCGACAAAGTTCGCCTGCGCCAAGAGCTCCTATGACTGCTCAGCCTCCTGCATCGCCTCGACCTGCAAAATGTACAGCATCAAGTTGTCCTCGTTGAGTGTCGTCCTCGTGCTCGGCGCCATTGACAGCCGCTTCAGGAGGTTGTAGCTGCTCCAAAGTCCCTGCATGACGTGGGTGACGTACGACGCCGTCGAGTACTGCGCGCCGGCCATCCTGATGGTGGCGAGAATTCGCCGGGCTCGGTTGCAGAAGTCGGTCGCCGTCTCCTCGTCGCCCATACGCAGGTGCGTCAGCTGCTCCTCCAGCTGGGCGATGAACAAGTCGTCGGTGACTTGGTAGGTCGACTCGATGAAGTGCCACGCCCGGTGGCCGGCGTCGAGGTACTCTCGGCACCACTTCAGGGCGATCTGCATGCTCGGCGAGCAGCACCGCGAGATGACCGTGAAGGTCAACAACTGCGCGGCGCGAAACTCCGCATGCAGGTCGAGGTC